CCATTGAGTGTTTATTTCCTGCCGAAGGCCTCTTCGCTGCATTTTCATGCAAACATTGCAGAATATCAGTGTCTCTCTGGCTATGGCCACCGGAATGGCAGTTGGATTGACCTACCTCAACCTGAAGGCCAACAACAATACCATTTCGGAGGACGAGGACTTTTTCAGCCCAATCGCACACAGAGTGGTGGGATTTCCTGTCCTTCCTAATATAACCTTTTACTTCGGTCTCAACCAGAAAGAATTTATCATGCCATACGATTATTACTTTTTTGGCTTTTCCGAGAACGTTACGAGGAACGACTTTAACGCGAGCAGAGCGAGTTTTGAGGAGATATTTGTACTCCACAGCGTTCTGCTCTGGCCGCGGACGAGTCTTGCTACTGTTGCAAGGAAAGTCTGGCCTGGTGAGGGCTCCGGTCCGGAGAGAGACTATTGCCTGCAAACCCCCTGTAATTCATGTGCGTGGCTATGTCGTTATAGTGGATGAGATGTTTTTTGTGTGTTTTTGTTTCAGCTGCACTACGCAGGTCCAGTCCATGGGCGATTGGACTATGAAGAACATGAATTATTGATTTGCTATGCTAAATGGTATCGAATAAATGCCACTATTGCGGCGTCTCTCAGGGAAAGTAGAGGCAGGAGTAATCAGGGTTATCCTCTGAAGATATTGAGTAATATAATTCTTAAACGGCGGACGAGACGGCAGTCAGTTAAAAGTGATGTGTGTCGCATATATGTAGCTGAGTACAAGGCTGTTGCTAGTGGACAGCTTATCCAAGTTCGCTACGTCATGTTTTGTTTTCAAGTGCAGCATGTAAAGTAGAAATTGTAGTATCCATATTGAAACGCCTTTAGCACCTGACTGTTAAAGCATGCGTTCTGGTCTTGCATATTTGCCTGTAGGCTTCTCACAAGTATTTATATGTTCGCATCGTTCACTACCTGGAAGATTCAAACAGCAGAGAGCATTTAATTTCAACATATTTTAAAATAGCTCAGGAACGTTTGCGAATTTATTGTATTTGGAGAGCTTTTGGTTTATTATTTAGCATAATTAAGGGACACAGTTCGTGATACGTCATTCTAGTCCAACAGTCAAACGAACTGACCGAATAAATGACTAGGCTGCAGCGAGCCCCGCAGAAGTAAAACACCACGGAGATGAATCTCAGTTGCAACCAGTCCCCAGTTCATATGAGTACTGAAAAAATAAATGTTGCCATTAAGAATTCAACTGGGAAATGCTTTCATCAATTGGGTTACGGAAACTGTTCATAATATTTTTCCTTGATACCCTGTGTGATGTCCTCGCAGATAGTGGCATAATGATCGTGAATATGGGCAGGACAGAAAATGAGAGAATTTGGAATTGCAATTTCTGAAATATGATCCGTAATCAAGAATTCATACCAAGTCCCAGGTGCGGCAAACCTAGATTGAGTTATGATCCGTCGTAGAATTTAAGGCAAAAAATATTCTGAATAAGCGCATAGGCCGACATTTAGAACAGCAGTCGTTCATGTTTTGGCAACTACAGCTATTATCAGTATATATGACGCCGGAGGAAATGCACTCATAGCACGCAATACTGCTAGAAGGAGTTAAACCCAGAAAAAACCTTCATACTGACGAGTGCTGATGACTGACATTCTATTGCTATATTTTGTGTTGTTGGGCTCCTTTTATGTTATTTTTAACTATGTAATTTCAGTTGACACCAACCCTGGAGCGCTCATCACAATCTTATTCGGCATAGTGCTACCGGCTGCTTTCGTGCTTTTCATTCACATTTTCTACCACACGTAAGTTGCTTGATGTAACAGGTCTTTCTTAATCTAAATGCGTAATGTTTAATTAGTCATCTCAACAGCATATGAATACGTAATTTAATGTGCGCAAATATTCTGGGTCCGTGTATCTTATCGTGTTGATCATCCCCGGAAGATGAAAAAGAAGAGGGGGCAAGTGCTGGGACACAAGGATGGACTGTAAGCGGATTGAAAATGTTATGTCGCAAAGGTCACGACGTGGACTAAACACTGTTAAGCGGGTCTCTGCGTTTGTCAGATCGGAAACATACATTTTGCTGCACGATTGCATTTGGTGTGAAAATTGGACCGCGCAGTCAAGCAAAGGAAACATGAATTCTCTCCCATTGTATTGGTTCTATACGTCGCTAAGTTACTGTCTCTCTGGGAAACCAAACAGAATTTGTTCTGACCGTCCTTTGTTAATTAATGTATCGTTGGTCGACATACCTTGGCACATATGTGGTGAGCCTGCATCCAGCATGATACATTAAGTGCGGCCAAGTAGAATTTAAAAATAAGAAAAAGAAACTGACTTCTACGTTCCCCTATATACTTTTCACGTGTGATTGGATTGTGGCCTTTGTACTAGTTTTTTTACTTGGCCATGCCAGGTCAGGTCAGGTTCATTAAGGTAAACATAGGCAAACGCTTTTCATTCCCTAAAAGTAACAGCATTTAAGGAATAAATTGGTACAGCAGAACATTTCAAAAGAGGTCGTTTAGATAATCGCAGGCGAAAGGCGACACGCCGGTAAGATCCAAAAGGTAAAAATATACGACTGTTTTAAGTAAAATAATTCCACGTGTAAGCATTAATCAAGGTGAAATCAATCGACACGAGCCAGTAGGGGCAA